AAGAGATGGATAGAGAGAGGGAGTGAGAGTAGAGACAAAGATAGAGAACATGAACATGTTACAAAAGACATGAATTAACATGCTTTAGTGAACAGAAAACTTAAGCCAAAAAAGTCACAGCTTGCTGTCAAAGTTAAGCAACACTTTAACATGCTGTCAAGTTTGATGTCAACTCACTCAGCTGAGCAGCCTTAACAGAGTTAACAACAACTTTAACGTGTACTTCAAATCAAATTTTATTAAAAAGCCGAAATTACGCGTCCTTCGACAAAAGTTTGCTCAGCCTCTTCTTTTTATCGTCACACATTTCCAATTGACATATTGAAAATTTGCATTCTTTAATAACTTTGGCGTTTATGAACCGTTCATAATAGAATTGTCAGGAAACAAGGAGGACAACCAAATATAAGCAAATGCCAAAAATCACATCAAACTGGCAAATTTAAGATTTGACTCTGGGGTAAGTCCGCTTGATAGATATATACTATATATTATATAATCGCAGAGAGCTTGCAGCTGAGCAAGTACCAGGAAAATTGTGAGCGACGGAGAGGGAGAGGGAAAAAGGCACACAGAGAAGGTGCTGCAACTCAAGTCTGACATTGAGTTGCATAATGAACACCAAATGTCAGCCAATTAAGTGCGTTTACGCTTGAGGTCGCAGCTTCTGTTACATCGTGCAAGCTCTTAAGTCCTTGGTTTTGACAGAATCCTTGAACGAGCAGGCCTTGCCATTCGTGCAGTTGGTCGCATTACGGCATCTGCTGTTATTACACGCGCCACACGGGCCGCTTAAACGTCACACACGGGGTCATTGAGGTGACTCTGGATGGACGTTGCAGGGCGGGCTGCTTGGGGTCCGGTTGGGGTCTGGTTGGGGTCTGGTTGGGGCCTGGTTGTTAGTGGTGCTGCTCGTGTTGCATCAACATGGTCGTGTATTGTGTGTCGTCAAATGGCCTGCTTTGGGGGCAATATACAATGCGTTAAGCTGACAGAAACCCCAGCTCTTGCAACAGGCGGGCGGGAAAAGAGGGGGCACAGCATGGTGAAGCAGTAGGATAACAATGTTGATGACAATAAGCGCACAAATGGATATAAACAGCAATATTTTTTTGCACTTTATACAATTTATTGTGTGCGTTTGCCTTTCATCTGTCAACTAAACGTGGTGAGGGCACGGGGAAAGCGGTGAATAGTGTGTCGGGGGTCGGGGGTCGGGGGGCTTAGCTGCTAACAATGTACAGCATAATGCAATTTCATTTTATTTGCTGCAACTTTATTTTCCTTTCTTATGTCCAAGTCATTTTATATTATCATCGCGAATTATTCACTTTAATTCGGCAGCAGTTGGCGAAGGGTGGGAGGGGCTGGCTGGGCGTGGGGGGGGGTGCGCATGTCTGGCCAATGGAAATGCACCAACCAAACTGGAAAATTTTGACGATTGTGTCGTGTGTGTACGTGTGTGTGTGTGTGTGTGTGTGTGTGTGTCTGTAATTAATGCGCTTAAAAGGCATTAAACGAAATTATGGTCACAGCTTACAACGCGCAAACTGCAACAGCGAAAGCGGGGAGAGAGCATATGACAGCGCAATACCCTGTAAAAAAAAGCGCCCAAGCATGCCAGCACACACAGACAGAGCATTAAGCAAGACTTTCATTCACAATATTACTTTATTGTCGCCTTTTCTACCTTCTGGGCGCAGGAAGAGAGTTGCACTTGCATTTTCTGCTTCTTATTCTTAAAGGTCAGAGTACTCAGTTCTGGAGTGTCTGGCTGTGAGAAATTCAGAGCCCAAGCATTGCTAATTTCTTCAATAAAAAAATACAAAAACACACACACACAATCACAAGCATCTTCTTTGCTTAGCCCCACATCACGTACGGGAAATGCGTTCTCAAGTATTTTCGATGCTTATAGTCCGATCTGAAAGAAATTTTCAGATCTTGAATATGGTTATCTCCAGAAGTGAACGACAAGAAGACAAGAAGCCACAATTACCGATATGCCTAAAAATCTTTCTCAATTATATGAAAATGGGTGGAGATATGGAAAAAATAGTAAAAAACTCGTTCTGCGTATAATATACAAATATATATATTTTAAATATTAAGCATCTAGTTTTCTTAGTTTACGCGATCTTTCAATACAGTCAGAATATCTCATCTTTTCACATTAGGTGTTTACAGGGTATGAAAAATAACAAATATTCAGGATAAGCAACTGCGTTTTTTTTACAATGCAGCTGACAGCGCGAAGAGGGACTGTTTGGTGAGTGGGCGGGTTGGGGGCGGGGCTGCAAAGTGTGTTGGTTAGCGGTGAGCGGGAATCGTGCCTGGAATTAAAACTTTTGCGCTGCCAACTTTTTGTCAAGCTTTTTGTTTTGTTTTTTTTGTTTTTTTGCCCCGTTTTTTGCGTTTTATGCAGAACTCGTGCATTGGATTTGGGTTTTCAATGAGCTTGTTTTCCGCAAAATAAAGTGTGAAACCGAAAAAGTAAAAAAGAAACTTAAATCAAATTAAAAATAAATTGAAATTAACTTCTCTCTTCGCGGCTTGAGTGCTGCTGCGCCTGACAATTGCCCGATTGGCTTAATTATAGCGCCGGGCATAATCAGAGCTGGCTTTAACGCACAATCCTTTTAAATGTCTCACGTACCGTTTTTCTCGCTCGCTCTTTCTGTGCAGGTTGCCTAATAAAGTGGCTCCATAACCAGCATATACATTAACTCTCTTTCTCTTTCTATCTCTCGTTCATCTTTTTTTCCTTCCTCTGTCTCCTAGCCTCATCCTCTCTCTTTCCATCTCTCCCTTTTCCTATCCCCTCCCATTGTTGCTCTTTATAAATCTCTCTCTCTCTCTCTCTCTCTCTCTCTCTTTCTCTTTCTCTTTCTCTTTCTCTCTCTCTCTCTCTTTCCTTCTCTTTTTCTCTCTCTCTCTCTCTCTCTCTCTCTCTCTCTCTCTCTTTCTCTCTCTCTGTCTCTCTCTCTGTCTTTTTTTCCCTCCGCCTTTCACTCTTTCTTGAATTTTCCCTCTTTATCTATCTTTTCTCTCACTCTCCCTTCCTATTTGTCTATCTTTCTGTGTCTCGCTTTCTGTCTCTTTCTCTGTCTCTCTTTATCTTTCTCCCCCTGGCTCTGTATTTCTATTTCCTACTCTCTCCTTCTCTCTCTCTTCCTCTCTCTGTCTCTCTCTTTCTATATCTCTTTCATTCCCTCTCTTCCTGCCCTCTCCATCGCTCTTCCTCCATCTCTCTTCCTGTTTCACGCTCTTTCATCTTTCCTATTTTCCCCTCTCCCTCTCTCCATGTCTTAACTGCACGAGTTCCGTGTTTGTTTTTGAATTCTCTTTCACCGAATGACGCCATTTCTTCCTATTCTCGGTTCCTCTTTGCATTTCTTTCGCAATCGTTACACAGGCCGTGCTGGCTTGTCATTGCAACATTATGAAAACCCTTTATTCACTTAATATTCGTACATCCACAATTCTGTTAATTAGCTTCCAAATATTAATGGGCACACACCAGATAATGAAACTGTTCGCTATCAAAGGCTTTGCAATCCTCAGCTCTCACTGGTTGCCAATCGAGCGTAATCCAACTTAATTCCAGTTTCCATACATTCGCGTTGCAATTCACGTAGCTGGCTGAGCTAATCAAAAATGCATTTGGACTGGCATTGCGGAGCGTCCGACCTCAATCGATACTCCTCTCGGCTATCTATTAGTGACAATCAGCAAAGTTGTCGCTAATCCCAAATATAACAGCTGCTGTTGCCCCCAGGAATTCGTTTGCGCCAATGCTACCGGCTCGAATGCTATAAATTAGCCCAATATCGAGTACAATGGAATTACGAATTGCATTAATTAAACATGGCTAACGATGGATTGAGGGATGGGCCGGTGGGAGGGGGGGCTGAGGGCATGTTATAGCAGAGACAGGATGTGCAACTGGCAGGCAATAGAAATAACCTTCACCTGCACAACGACAGAGACAGGGGCGGCAAAGTGGGTGGCAGTGACGCCAGCGCGAATGCAATTCGAGAAACGGACACATGACCATGAATCTGAGCTTGTATAGGTGTGCGTGTGTGCGTGTGTGTGTGTGTGTGCGAGTGTGTATGTGTGTGGCGATTGCATTACGTGCGCGTAATCAGCTTAGTTGCTGTCATTTAATCAAATAATCATAGCCGGACTCCTCAAAGTCAACCCCCGTGCAATTAGTGAAGCTGCCATGCGAGGTCAATACTGGCCGCGATGGAAGGGGATTTTGTAACCAAAATACTTCGCTTAATATCCTGTTTCCACAAGGCTATGACGTCTGTTGGCGCTTATGCGATGACTGGCTGTTCGCACCATTAATGACTTTTATTGAAAATGGATATGAACAATTAATTGGAGCACGCCGTTAAAGGAGTGCATCTTTTCTCCGTGGCAGGGCTTTACATTTAAAAATGAACAAAAAAATGAGTATACATACTAGAGCACAAGGATTTAACTTTCAATTTACCTTTTCAATCAGTGTAAACTAAACGAGAACCTTTATACTAAATTTGCCGTCTCTAAAAGTTATAGTCTCCGAGTTACGCTTAAAAAACCTAGTTTCAAAATCGATATTCATCGATATTTATCGTTAAAGGAAATGGGGAGGTATTGAAAATGGGATAGGCTCCTTCTGTTGATATAGTATGACACAGCAGAATAAATACTGCGAATTTTAAGTGTCTAGTTTTTGTATAGTCCCAGACTGTCGAGTTCATACCAAGCACAGACGGATAGGCAGACCGATATTAATCGAAACATGCCGCAGTTCTGACATATGTCTATTCAAACTTCAGCGATTCGTATAGGTCCTCTTTATGGGTGCCCAGTCAAAGAGCCTTTGATAATACTTTCACAGCCCCCAATCCATATAAAACAACTGTTAACAACAGAGAAACTTCTAATAATATTCCAAATTCTCAGTGTTTTTTTTCAAAAAAAACTTTTAGACAAGCTTGCGAGCCATGTCAGAATATTCGCTGACCAATATGATTGGCGCCATTGCGCGTCGCATGCTGCAGGATCAAGACCGGAAGAAGAAGGAGCAGCAGCAGCAGAAGCATCAGCAGAAGCAGCAGCTGAAGCAGCAGCAGAAGCAGCAGCAGGAGCAGCAGCAGGAGTCTAGGCCCAAGGAGTCAATGGATTCCACAAAACTTAAGCTAATGCTGGAGGAGATCAGCAAGGAGCTGGAGGGACGAAAATTTAACACGCTCAATTGGCAACTGGCCGAGTGCCAGGGACTGCTCGAACAGTTTCACTCCAGCAATCGTAAGATCTACAAGGATATAAAGCTCATTCGCCAGATTATCATTGAGATGCGTAGACGGATCGATGCATCGAGGCATCGAACTGAGCCCAGGTACGGGGAGCAATTGAGGCCGTATGATAATGTGGACTTTTCTTAAAGCTCTGCTGATCACGGCAATCAAAGCCGAAAGCTTTACCATATCGCCTCCACAATTGGGGACACGGGCAACGCCCAAACATATACGTACTTAAAGCTCGGCTTTATATGTTTGTCGAGCTTAGGGCTAAACAAGGAAGAGCCAAGCAGAGATCAGTTCGCTTTATGCAAAGCTTTAAGCTTTCAATGCGAGCTTTTGTTGCATGTTATCGATCGTCAGGTTAATTTATTAAATAAATCGTTTGTGTCTAAAACGTGAACATTATACGCTTTATACATATTGTATTCCTTTTAAGAAAGAGTTTAAGAGCTGGTTGGGAAGATCAGAAGAAAAACGAAAAGAAAATTTGATTGAGAAAAAAACAAATAAGAGAAGAGAATCTGATTAAAATATATACAAAATATTTTGAAGAAAAGGGTAAGTATGAAAAAAACTCAAATACGAAAGGAAAATCTGAGAAAGGAGCAGCAAAGTTATTCGAGCAATGCAATGCAGAAATATGAAAAGTTTCGACTAGACTAGACTCGTACTCGTTATCATCTATTGATCGAAAATATTGTAGTCTATTGGTTTTCAACCAGGGCATATCGATTATTTATCAGCCAAGCGACACGAATTCGTAACTCCCAGGCCAATCGTCGCTTTCCTTTTCCCAAAAGCCAAAATTTACAATCTGATTACTTGCGCTCTCTCTCTTTCACGCTCTCCTTTCGTAACTCCCATTCGAATCGTCCCTTTCCTTTTCTCACAAGCCAAAATTTACCTTTTGACTAATCGTGCTCCCCCTCGCAGTCTCTGCCTTGCTACCTCTGCCACACTCTGCACTCAATTACATGCCAGAGAGCGCCCGCTGTGTGCTGCATTTGATCAAAGAGAGCGCCACAAGCAGCAGCAAGAGCGACTAGATGAAAGAGCGAACGTACCTAATGCCCATAAAGCTACGAAAATAAGCTTTTAATTAGTTTAATCCAAACATAATTAAATCCCAACAAAAGCAACAAAAAAAAAAAAGAAAAGAAAATGAAAAGAAAAAATCATAATAACAAAAATGTCATGTAAATTGGCTTCAAAGCGTTTTGTGTTTTAAATTTAGAAACCTTAATAATTATGCGTATAATACTTCAAAATATCCCACACAAACCTCCCACCGCCAGCACCACTCTGCCCCCCCCCCCCCCCCTCTCTCACCGCCCAGCGACCGCTCTTCCGGGGCTCATAGTGTTGGCCGTTGAGTGTTTGCAAGTCACTTGAATTGTTCTTAGAATTTCAGTTGCAATTGCCAGTGTTGAGTTATTTGCGCGGCTCGCTATTTATAGCCGCTGTCTTTTGAATGGCATTCCAGGCGGCCAAAACCCACGCAGCGCTGGGTGGTTGGGCGGTTGGGTGGGTGGGTGGTTCAATGCTTGGATGCTTGCCGCTGTTCGAGCGCAATCGTAAACACAAATTTTGCGGTTACACGTGCGGACATATTCATGTTGTTCTTGATTTCGTTGTTGTTGTTGTTGTTGTTGCTGTTGCTGTTGCTGTTGTTGTTCTTGTTTAGTTAGTTGGCAATTAGATAATGATTTATTTTTGCATACAACAATTTGGTGGAAATTGCTGTGTGTGTGGGTGTGCGTGTGCGTGTGTGTGTTGTGCAGCTGCCATTTGAATTTTGATTTATTTACATGCCACACAAAGTTACACGCGGAGCTGGGCGCTTGCTGAGCTTTTCCCGCTGTTTCGTGTCGCGAAACGCATTTTATTTTATTTAATTTTCTTCGCTGGACATTCGATTCATTAGCTCACAGACTAATGCATTGCCCGGAAAGCTGGTATTTCACATTCAGGCAAACGGATCTTGGTTTCCACCTTGGTCTGTCAATAAATACATTTCCCAATATCGATCAATGTATCAGTGTCTAGCAAACCTAATCAATCTATAACAATCATAAATAATTGATTAGCACAGAAATGTGTATTAAAGATTCGAATGGTATTGAAGATTGCTTTCCTTTCTGAGCGATCGCTGGTTAGTGAAATCGAATAAAATCCACGTTTGCTTACACCATTCGAGCAACAAATAGCTTTTCGCTTATATCAAGACTTTGTTTATCCCAGATGCATAAATAGAGAAATCAATTATTTAAACAATCTTTAAATTAAATTCGATAAACGCATGTGATTCGTGTCTCGTGTTTGATTCGTGGAATTCGTGTTCATGTTCTTTCCGCTCGCCTGAAGTCCATCTCCAATTACACGAGACGCCAGATGGAGGCGCCAGTGCATGCATGCATGGAGTGCAATAGCCGTGAGCTTTTCCTGCGCATCTTTGATCTTAACAAACATTCAAATACCTTTTGATCATGAAAACAGGAAAATGAAAATAATAAAAACCAAATACCTGAACTACGCCACACTTGTTCTTTATGTTTTCTGCCAGTCTTCTTTTTTCTTGTTTTTGTTTTTAATGTTGGTGGGCCACAAAATTAATTTGATTTATTTATTAGCTGTCCATTATTTGTTTATAAACAATAAAAGCGGCCGAGAAGAATGCGCATTTCAGGTTCATGAATATTTCAAGTAACAACAGCAACAGCAACAGCAACAAGAACAACACGAGCTAAATAAAAGCAACAGCTATGAAAATCAGAAAGAAAATGGAAAAACCAAAATCATTTTTATGGCAAATATTTATCTAACAGCATTTTAGGCGCTCGACTGAGCAAAGTGTGCTAAGGTGGATGGCAAACGAGGGGCAGGCCAACGAAGGGGGGGGAGGCGGGGGGGGGGGCTGGTTTTGCGCTGGCAAAGTCAAACAAATGCCTCGAGGTCGTTTCATGTTGATATATTAATGTGCGTTAATTAGTGAAGGCCGGCGGGGTAGTTTTTGTTTTTTTTTTTTTTTTTTTGGGTGGGATGGGTTGGGTGGGTTGCCTATTTGTGATTATGTACTCGTACTCCCACATAGCCATGCATATAGATAGCTAAATAACTTCGATATGATACTAGCCAGACAGTTGGTTCGGGCTAATACTATAGATAGTTTCTCGAGTGGCTTGTCATGAAGTGTTTGAGAAAGCGAACCGTATATCAAATATTGTATTCAGCTGTCAATCGATAAGCGATAGATAAACCTGCAAGTAAAGCTCTCGATTTATAGAACTTGTCCGTTTACATACCGAAATCCATAAATAACTGTTTGTCCTGGCTGATTGGTGACGTGACCTCAACAGTCTGCGTGGCTTAGCTGTGCGGGCGTTCAACTAACAAGCGGCAGTCCGGCGGTTCAAATCTAGCACTCATTTTCAATGCCTTTACCCTGAACCCATTGAAAATGGGTAAAAGGTAAATTGATTTTGTGCAAATGTATGTAACACGCCGAAGACAGCATATCCGACCCCGTAAAGTACTATATAAATTCTCGATCAGCATAGTCGAGTCGATCTGGCCATGTCCGTCTGTCTGTTCGCCTGTCCGTCGATCTCTTAGCCTATAGGAGCAAGTTACATTTTGGACCTAGGTCCTCCTACTGCTCGCGGAGTACGTATCGATAACCGATAACCCCGTTTCCAAGCAATCGATACAAAATCAATATCGAAATCCTGTTTTTAGAGCAAATCTCTTAGGCTTTAAGAGCTAGAGTCACCAAACTTGACAAGTAGCTTCTAGAATAGTATATACAACTCAAGTATTTTTCATTTTTTAGCTAAACCCTAGCGCGAGCTGCATTTGGAGTTGATAGAAGAAGGTGCAGGGTATCCCCCAGGCGGACAGCACCGACTAGAGCCATCTAACTTATTTTGGCTTAACCGAATGCAAAGATGGCAATTCGAGCGGCTTTATAGCTAACCGATTGGCTGGAATTACGTAGACAATTTCTGTTTCACCTAGATTATGAAAATTATTTACTTAAGCCGGGCAACGGCGGGTAATTTCTTAAAGTATAAATAGATATAAGTCGTCCTCATGCGCATTATCGTGTTGTGCATGCTCTAAACGAATATTTACCTTCTTCCATAGCAATGTTTAGGAATTAATTGCAAAGTTTTAGGCTATAATCAAAAGATTAAGCAGCTTATTGGATGATAAGGATTAGGAAAAGGTAATATAGATAGTAAAGTAAAAAGTTAAGTACGAGCAGGTGTTGGCTATTTAACGGCGTAGATGTTCATATGCCCAAGTCCTAACCCTATATATGCTATGTATCGCTTCTTTATCTTCCATAGCGAGAATTCGGCGATAGCACAATTTTTTTTCAATAAGACTTTTTACAAGTTTGGTTAAAATAATGTCAATACGAGCTTTCTTTATGGTGTAGTTATTTACATAAAAATGTTTGCGCCTGTTGTAAATGTATCCCCCAGGCGACACTTGTTCCTAGCGCCTGGACGAAATGCCGTCTTTTTCCCCAAGCGCCACTTACTACTTGTCGGGCAAATCCTCTGCTGGGTTCCAGAGGCTTAACAACTGAAAGCAAAGTATTGAAGGTGCGCTAAGCTTTTGCATTTGAAACTCGCAAACAACTTTCACAGATAAATTGTACTAGGATAATCATTTCGTTTATTCTGAAAATTCGTAAGCTCTGTTATTTGCTAGATATTTAGGTATAGAACCAATATGCAATATTGAAAAACATTTGTGCTATATCAAAACAGTTAAGACTTGATTATTAGCCAGCGCGGCTGATACTTGTTCGAACCATGCCATCGTCTGTCTGTGCCCAACGAACTCAGTTATTATAGAAGTTACAGCTGGCAAAATGGGAATGCCTAATAAGTAGGCTCCCTCATATTCAAATTGAGTTTTATACCTTAGAAATTAGCTGTGCGAATATTAAGAGTCCTAATATCTTTCTTCTATTATCATCATTTTCATCATCTATCAATGAAAATTCGGTTCTTATTGAAGATCTCCTATAAAGTTTTTATTCTTTTATATAACTATGGGATGTCTGCCTCTCAGAGTGTCCCTATGGACAGGAGAGTACCTGCCCCCCTCGCCCAGGGTGCCCCTATAGG